AGATTACCTATCTAGAAACAGCCACGAGTTAAATTCATGAACAAAAATTCAAATGGATAGAGATGTCAACTTAATAATCAATAATAAAATTTTTTTAAACAGATTAAAAAAAGATTACTAGAAGTAAACTTATATTTTAATGTACTTTCTATGAATATTTTTCTAATCGACTATTTCATAAAAAATCCCAAAAATTTTAATAAAATTTAAATCACTAACAAACATCAAATTAAATCATTTGTAGACAGTTTAGAGACATTCAAATTTATATCAAACATTATAATCTTTATGAACCTCCAAAATAACACTTTCAAAGTAAAACAAAATAACAGCGTCTGTTTCTAGCCTTTTTTTTACAAAGAAAATTAGTGACACTTTCTCTCATAACTTCCTTATCTCTTTTTCTATGGGTTTTTTCTTCTCTACCCCTTCGATATCAATATATAACTTCCGTTAAGTTAACCATTTAAATGTGTCAATGTCTGCTAACTCACTCATGTCTTCTCTCTCCCACCTCACTTCCTTAATTTACATATGTTTAATACGGCCCGTCAAAAATGTGTAAATTTTCTTTTCGTTTTTTGTTTGGAAGTAAAATCTGATGATCCGCAGTCCTTTTAAAAGGGCTATGGTGAAATAATTTATTACATGGAACCATAAAGTGGTCTGTTTTTATTTAAATTATTTGCTCTGGATTTACATTGAGCTCTCTGGATTTTATCCTCCTTAGGTTTACCCATACGGATTACCTAGTTTTTCATAAACTATATATATATATATATATATATATAAAAATAAAGAGTCATTTCCATTTGCAACAATTTAACAAGGATATGAATAAACACTGAAAGATTAAAAAAAACTCAGGGTCATGTCTCTTTTGGAGTTACTCTTTTTTTTTTTTATGGCATGATACATTTATCTTGCTTTTGGAGATTTTCTTTTTAATCATTTTACCTGAAAAAAAAAAAAAAAAAGAGGCAATAAAGCCACTATAATAAAAGTAGTAAAAAGTAAAAATGGATTTAGGTTGCAACCTTGTTTTTGTTGGTGGGGGTGTCTTACCCCTGTGAAAAGGATGCATTTGGTAATTTCTAGGCACTGCCAACAGGGTAGATAATGTTGTTTTCTTTTTTTATTCATTTTACCCTAAGCAAGGCAATAAAGCCACTAAGATGCATTACCGTATGTGAAATAATATGAGAAAAAGAAAAACATTAAGGAAAGAGAACAATAAAAGAACAGGAATTAAGAATACAGAAGATAACGATTGTCACTGTATTTAAATTTTTGAAGACCAAAGTTGACTGGAAAGTAAGAAGACAAAAATGCAAGAGAAGAAACTGTTAGCATAGAAATTATGGTTAAATCTAGCAATTCATCTGTAAAATGATGAGACCTAGCTGCCAATCTAGTACTGCACTTAAATTCATAAAAATCAAGATACCAAAGAGGAAAGTTCATCAGAACAATTACCATGAAAATGTTTATAGAAATGGCACAAGGAAGCTATGTTATGGTAGTGGGAAAGTGATTGAAGACAAGATGTCAGGTATGTAGGTGAAGTAAGAAGGAAGGCCACAGGGTAGCAATTTAGTTGAATGTTTTTCATTCAGTATAGTCAGTAGAGTTCTTATTGAATCATTAAAATTATCTGCTCATCAGAAAATTTCCTTGATATAAAATTTACATTCTTCTTTTGTACAAAATATCATAAAAATAGATGAAAAAAATGGAAGAGATCCAAGAATACATAATGTCAAGTCAGACGATAACATTAATGAAAACCCATGGAAATTAAATAATGTATAATGATAAGGTGGGAAGTATTTAAAAGAAATAGAGATATAATAATGGAAATCACTTTGACAAGATGCTTAAAAAAGTCAAGTGTATAATGAGTGAATAATGTCAGCTGATGTACAAGTGTGAAATATAAAAATTAACAAACTCTCTTGAAAAAGAGGAAGCAGTCAACTAAGATCAGAGAACAGATGAAGATAAGATGAACTGGCCAGGATGAGATAAACTGGCCAAGATGAGATGAACTGGCCAAGATGAGATGAACAGACCAAGATAAGAGATATAGATGTCACAAAATGACAAAAATGGAGATGAGTAGGACATGGAATTTCAGTTTAATGTCTTTTTATTTAATTTCTATGTGTTCTCTTTAATGTTATTGTCTGTTCTAAATAAATGTATTCCTAGACTTTATTTCAAATTCTTCAATTCAAAGATTAAACATTTCAATGGAACACAGTCAGACACACAATCTTTTCTGCCCTTTTCTAAAAATTCAAATCACGCTTGACCAATTGAGGGTTGGTGAGGTTAGTAGTCATTGACTCTCAGGAGTTCATCCGCTCTTTAACAACTTGTCTTTTTTGCTGTTGGGTTTCTTATTCTCCTCACTAGACCAGGATCTGCTGCTGACCATGCTACAACACAGGTTTTGAATTCAGAGTTGTCTTTCTCCTAGACTGGTTGCACCCAAGGCTATAGGACCAGTCTTTCCTGCTATTTACCCATAGCTTCAGAAAAGATGGACATACATTTCCCAAGGGTATTTGCATGCAAATGAATGCTATAAACTTGACTGGAATTTGAACTATGCTCTCTGATTCCCCAATCTGAGCTGCTATCCATTATTCCACTATGCCTTCAAGACCTATGTTATTGATAATGATCAGAGAATAATTGAAAATATTTAATCCAGGTCCTATGGACAATTCATATACACATTAGAACTGGAAGAAAGAAAATTAATATGAAATTTATGAAATTCCCATATTGGTTTTATTAAATACAACTTGTTTTAGTGAAAAATTGTCTAAATATACATTACACATAAATCACTGAAAGGACCTTGTGTTATGGAGTGATTTCACAGTGGAGGCTTGTATTTGTACTAAGTCGGTCTTAAAATAGGTTTGACGTACAAAACATTAGGAACTTGATATAATAGGTAATGATGCAGAGAAATCTAGATGTGGTCGCTGATACTTTAGTATCTGACTAATGGTCGTCCCGGCATCAACTGACTGACTGACTGACCCACTGAGCCAACTGACTCGTTACTCTTACTACTCCGACTTATTATAGGTGGGAGAGTCTATTAACTATAGAATAGGTGTGTTCCACTATAACACCTTGATACAAACAAGAGGTAATAAGAAAAAAAATATTAGATATTTGTTCAGATTTTGGAAAGTGGGTTGTGTCAAGGATTTTTCTGTACCACACATGTGTGTATAAAACTTTATTCTCTAGTACTATCAATGGCTACTTTATATATATATATATATATATATATATATATACACACAAATTATATTTTCATTTTTATGTAATTCATTTATATGCCCTATAATAAATATAAGGAGTTCTCTTTTGTGGATCAGTTTTAATATGTTGTATTATTAGGATCTACTTGGATATATATATATATATATATATATATATATATATTTTAAGACATTTTTTATGTTTATACATTCTTTTTATAGATACAAATATTTAAGTAAATGCTCTATTTATAATAAACAGTATTAACAACATTTATCGGTCTAAATGTCCGAGAAATTTTCATAGAAAATATGTGTCCTCTGACAGGACTTGAACCTGTATCCTATACGCAACCGCCATTAAAATAATTGTCGGACTTTGTCCATTTCATAATGTGTGACACACATACACACACATATATAAGACAAGGAAACCATATTAGCTGACACATTTCGTCCTTTGAGGGTCTTTATCAAGGCAAATATAGCAAATTTATTTTGTGAAAAGTATTTATATACAAGACCAAAAATGTTATTGGTTTTTCAAAATTTTTGAGTTTAGGAATGCTTATAAATATTCATCAGGTAGGCAGAAAAATCAGGTAAGTTCATGAATGTGAGGTAATACAGTGCAATGCCTAATTAATGATAGTGAGTAGAAGGTATACCACATATTCTGATAAACTAATAACATTTTTGCTCTTGTATATAAATGTACAGATTAAAAATTAATCAAATTTCCAAGTCGGCCTTTTTTGGAAGGGAATTTTGTTTTTTTTTTTTTTTTTATAAAATCCAAAAATCTCACATCTTCGTCATCATGCTTCCATTTGGTCAAAAGACCAACTAATATACAATAAATATTATTAATCTTATTGTCAAAATTAATTTTCTTGTTCTTTTATCTCTCAAATTTCTTTCATCGGCCTACTATATTTACATATAAGAAGAATATGTGGACAATTTTTCTTTACTATATATATATATATATATATATATATATTACATACACACACATACACAAATCCAACCACCTACCCAACAACATACACACAGTATAATGTACTAATCAAAAGTTCAGCAAATTCCCAAGAAGATTATTTTTAAGAAAATAGTGTAAAGTAAATGCTAAGGTAAGTAAATTCTTTTCATTTGTAAATTCCATAAATTTTGAATAACATCCTACTGCAGACCTGCAGACACATCTTTGAATTAATAGAAATGTAGTTTCTGTGTAAATACACAATCAATACACAAATTTGTCTCTTATAAAGAGTCAAACTTTATAAAGAAAATTCATAGCTGAAAAAATTTAGCAGGCACATTTTTGGGATTTGTAGCAGATGGAAACAAAAAGGAAACTAATACTTAACATCAGGAACGGACAAATGAGGTTTCTAGGGCATATAATGGGGAAGGAAGGCTTGGAAAATCTGATACTTACAGGGCAGATAGAGGGCAAGAGGGACAGAGGAAAACAACACATAACAATACTTAGTGAGCTTCAGTAAATGAATGGTAGAACGGGGCTTAGGAGAAATAATAGAAAGACAAAGCTTATTAAGAGCTACAAGGGAGAGGAAGTTATGGAGAGACATGTTTGCCTACATCCTGAAGTGACATGGCACATAAAGAAGAAGCAGAGCAAAAAAAAATTAGGAGAATAGGAAGCAAAATTCTTTGGTTTGCCAATGAACATTATTTTATACTTACGCATACAATCTTCTTATCCGAAGTTCCAGCTACAAACAAATTCTGTTTATCTTCATCAGGGTTGAATTTGATGCAATACGGAACCTTTCGACTCGTGAAGTGATTGATGCATTCGCCTGGTTAAAAAAAGAAAAAAAAAAAGGCAGGTTAATTATCGCTGGTATTAAGGACTTCCTTTGTGCCTTTTGTCAGACTATAGAAAAATATTTTCAATAAATATTTCAGAGAAAAAGAAAGAAAAAAAAAAGTAATCAGGTTATCTAAGTGCACATAGATAAACACAAACACACACATACAAAATAAAAAATAAAAACAAAAAAAAAAACACTGAAATGAGTCTTTTAGCAAATTTCAATCTCGTCCACAGGTGTAAGAGATAATTTCACTCCTATTGCAGTCACTGAACAATTTTGCATGGTTATGAATGAAAGAGGACTAATAAGTTGTCAATCATGCTGGAATTGCCACCGTATATCAGGGTACATCACAAAGTTTGCATTTGGACACTTAATTATTAGCTGAAATTTGATAACAGATTTTCATGGAATAATTGTTCCAGCTTTTTCATTAATACTTACCACTGAATTAAGTGCATTGACAAGGAAGATTATGCTGAAAAATATCTGTTGCATAAAACGTTTTTTTTTCATTATTAAGTTACTAACTTACTGATATACATATAACTGTATTACTCAAAATTTGCTATATTTATAAAGGAAGAGTGCTAAATACTGGAGATAGGGTGCTTTGTAGATACAAAGTGGGCATAGAAATCAACACATGATCTAAAGATCACTTGATGTGAGAAACTGACAGTCACCATGCAGTGTTGATTTCTAGGTTCACACTGTCATATCACTGATATCAGCCATTTACTCAGTTCACTGTAAGATACAGACCTTCCCAAAAGCCTGTTACACACTTAAGAAATAAGGAGCCTTTGCCAGACAAGATATGTTATCAGGGAATTTGAGTTATCCTTCTTGACTGATTACACCACCAGGAAGCTACTCTGTAGAATTTACTCATAGCTTATGAGAAAACATGAATTTGAACTTGAATTGCTGACTCCATTTTCTCTGACAATAACTGTTATACCAAGTGAAGATACAGTACCAAAATGGTTTGGTGAATTTGCTTTGTAAAGCAAGTCAGTAGTACTGCAAGTCAATGCATGAACATCACAAGTGTGGCTTTATGCTGGACTAATCTTGCTAGCAAATGTTAGTAAATGTCACACACGTATGTACATCTATAACAGGGCAAATTCACAGGATCAATATTTATTAGTGCATGTCTGGATGGTGATTTGGGGCATGATCTAGTTGAGAGTAGGAGAAGGAAAAAATTAGGGAAGATAAGTGAGTGCATTTGATATACTGAGAACAAGAACAATGTAAAAATATAGGTTTAAACCTATGAGATGAATGAAGCCCTGAAAAAGGATTTGAACCTTGGACAACATAACCAAAAAACAGTAAAACTTAGAGGTTCCCAAGCTTACACATGTGCAAAGAGATGAATTGAGAACAGGTTTGTGCATTCTCAAAATTTTTTCAGTTGAAATAGTTTTTAAAAATCATATCTGGGTTAATCCTATTCTGCAAATTATGTTATTTCATTGATAGAAGTGGTGTGCTGCTCCCTGAGCACAGAGGCTTGTAGTCTGTAGTCATGTGGTATAGTCTGCTTGTCTTTGTTGCTTCTAGCACCAGCCATCATCTAGCTCTTTGAAGTGAAAAGGAGGGCTGAGTGTGTAAATCCTTCCCTGATGTTTTTATGGTTCAACTTTTATGGCCTCCTCGTGACACACTATGGAAACTGTGAGGTTGGAACCCCAGAGATACAGTGTGCCAGACACACTGGTGTGTGGACAAACTATGACACTTACCAATCCAACCACTTTCTACCTTGTATGTCCTGCCTCTTTAGGCAAAGGCTAGAAGAAGGTAACATCAAAAACAAATCCACTTTGCATGATGTCTAGAAGAAAGGAATTCACCTCCCTACATCAAGCCACGACAGAAAATAAACTCCTTGGGCTTAGTACAATGGTTCAAACAAACACACTGGGACATGGCACTGCATCTGGGGGACCTTTCTGATTTCAGACCATTCGCCCATGGGTTTATCACCCATGGCACTTCAGACAACGATAGATGATGATCAACATTTCAATCTGGTCTTAGTTGTTGGGGGTGATGATTGTTGCAAGCTAGAGGTCAGTGACCCCATGTTGATGGAAGTAGCTGGATTTTTAATAAAACTAGATGGTAAAGAATGCTTTGATTAGTTTTGTTATGGTTCTTTTTTGATTGCAGCCAGAATTCATATTGCTGTTAAGTGTAGCAGACCATGGATTTATGTGTTGTTAAATAAGGAACACATGTGTGACTCCTGATAGAATATTATAAAGTCCACTACAAGAATATACATTTCTTTGGTTGGACTCAACTTGAGTCCAACCAAAGAAATGTAAAGAAAACAAACACGACCAATATATATGTACAAACAAGTATATGTATTAAACAACAAAATTTACAATGGGCAAAGATATTAATGTGTGTTTGTGTGTAAACAAAAAGAGTTCATGTTTTGATGAATGTTCATACATACATGTATGTATGTTTCATAGTGTTTTCCCACAAGTGGGCAAAACGCAAATCTCTGCGAGAGATCACATTTTTTAAATGTGTCTGCTGAAATGCTAAGTAAAAAGAGGACGAGGCAGGTTCTTGTCGCATATATATATATATATATAGTGTCAGGAGAGTGTGCCCTAGTGACCAATTAGGAAATTAAGGAGGAGTTAACTCTGACATAAGCTTCTGACAGACACACAGACAAAGAACTTTTAGAAACAAGACCTACACAAAAGAGAGGGAACTCACTTCTTTCTATATGTTCCCCAAATAGGAGTATTATTGATAGTATTGAAGTAATATCACTGCCTCAGGTCACTCTTCGGAGTAGATGGTAACACCTGCAAGCTAAATGATATTACATACTCATCTATATAAATATATCATTGTAATAAACCTGTAGTCGAGTTGACGACAGTGTTTTTGATTTTCCAAGGGGATGCCCCCTCATCTGTGATCAACACAGTGGAATTGAATTCCACTGTGATATACATGTTTTTGAAAAAAACGTCCTATCACTGGTGGTGCCGTCAGGAATGTTCTCATCAGTAGGAAATCTATATAGGCGTATGAGAATATAGAGATGGTGTTGAACACCTCATGATTGGTATCCATGAATAGTTACAGAGGTATGTTGATTACCAGGATAAAGGCCTGGCATATTTGGTGCCATGGTTGAGCGGATTCATAATCTTTGGTGATTTATACATCAATATATCAATTGTCTAATGATGAAAAGTATTTACTTTATACAATAGATTTTTTAAAACACAACCTCTTATTCAATTCACTTAATTCAGTGATGAAGACAAAAGAATATACAGTGAAAATTTTAGATCAAAATTCAGCTGATAACTATTTCATATATATGTCATCTATTAGTATAACAGCAAGATTGTATTGTAAGTTGGATCCTCACAGGACGTGTGACCTTGTGTCAGACTGTGAAAAAAAAAAAGTGATTCAAATTTTTTTTTTTTTTAAATCTTGTTTTTTTTCTAAATATTTTAGATAAAAAATAAAGTTTCAAAAAAATTTGTGTATAAGTAAGGGAAATGATACATTGGCTGCAATTTTATAAAACAATTCTTAAGAAACAAACCTAAAGCATGTTATTTTTTGTTTTTAAGGTAAATATTTACTGTGTAAAAAAAGTGACTCACTTTTTATACTGTATTAATTGCATACAAAGTTAATCTAATATTTAATTAAAAAATAAAATTTAGTAAAATAAAAACACAAAAGAAAAATTTCATTAGTAATTTATGCTTCCACCTTTGTTTTTCAGAACTTTGTTGACTCGCTCTGGGATACTCTTAATGAGATTTTTGCAGATGTCATCTCCTAGCAAATAATATAATAGCAAGATTGTATCATAAGTTGGATCCTCACAGGGTATGTAATCTTGTGCCAGACTGGGAAACAGAAAAATCATTAGGATATCTAATGTACATTGGTGATTAACAAGTGACCTTCTTAAGCTCAATCTTTGCAGATGTTCCATTCTTGTAAACCTGTTTTGGACAAAGTTAAGCTGATTAAATAGATGTGACTTTCATCCATTCATAAAGCCTTGGTAAAGTATATGTAATAAAAGCCCATTTTCTTACGAGGCCAATTCCTACTTAAGAGACTGACAACAGAATCTTCAACAAGCAAATTCATGTACTTGCTTAAGATCTATCACATTTAACAGCATAAGGTACATGTCAATCTAACACAATAATGATATGTAGTCCAATGAAAGCAGGACACAGGATCTGGTCACATGAATTAAAGTATATGTGCGATTAAGTGTTTTTGACAATATATGCATATAAAAGAGAACATTTAACCATTCAGTCAGGGAAATTTAACATTTAGTCGATTGACAGCCAGCAGACATAATTGGGCAGTACAGAGTTAATGTTAGCAGAAATCTAAGAGTCAGATTAGACTGACTCAGGTGTGTCCTGGATATGATGATAAACTACATACGACAGCAAGGCCTCTGTTTGAGGGGGTTCTGAGGTGCATGGAACCACCTCTTAAATGCTTTTGTTCCCAGGTCCACCTTGACCTGGGATGGTAGCACCTGTCACGGTTCCAGCTATGGGCAAATAGTGAACACCCAAACACTACGAAAGTATAAAAATACAATTCTATAGTAAAAATACTAGCAATAGATTCTAATAATGAAAAGAAAATTACTAAAGCCCCCAAGAAAATTAAATTTTGGGATGACCCATAAGGAGTTGATATGCCATTAAACAAACAATACACTCAGGTCCTGCCAACTGTATGGGGGTCAGCTGATTTTTCAACCTCTCATTCGTATTCTAACTAAAATTAGCAATTAAGCAATAACTAAGCAACCAAAAACTAAAAATGTCTATGTTGTATGTGAGTGGTCTTATGTTGGAGCCTATGAAGAAGGATGGTAATAAACTGTTTAGTACATTGGTATCCTCAGAATTAAGCAGTAGTTTATTAAA